TCTTTTTCTGTTTCTCTCTAGTGAGCACACGTGCCCTCTGGCAAAAATAATGAACAAATGAAAGATACAAATCTTACATGGACAGCTCAGTAAAAGTGTATTTATGAGTGGCCGGCAGGTGGTATGGTGGTTGAGGTGCTGGATTCCCACATGGCAGACCGCAATTCGATTCCTGGACCTGGCAGCTTGCTTTCTCACTTTCCCTTTCTCTCTCTTTCTATCTCTCTCTGGTCAAATGGAAAAAATAACAATAATAAATAAAATTAAATTCTGTAAAAAATGTATTTATGGAGACATCCATGAATACATGAAAGCATCCCCCAGATCAAGAATCAGAGCATTTCCAGAACCCCAGAAAGCTCCCCTGTACCCTCCCAAGTCCAGACTTCCCCAAAGATAACAACTATTCCAACTTCTGCGCCCACAGGGCAGTGGATGAACCTCCCGCAAAGGAGCCAGACAACCGTACTTCCATTCAACCTGACGTCCGTGGTCTCCGGTCATGTGGTGTTTCGTCGTGTGGTGTACCTTAGTTCCCTCCCGGTCTAGCATAGACACCAGGGCGGTTTCTGCTCTCAGGGACTCGGCTGCTGTGAACGGTCTTATGCTGTCTTCTTGTGGCTCTCGTCCCTCCTTTCTCCGCGCCTGGCCCAGGTGTGGGATGCCTGGGCCGTGGGAGGGGCATATATTTGGCATCAGTAGGCACCACCAAGTGACTGTGAGAGTTTCCACGCCCACCTGCCTGAAACCTTGCCAGCCTCGGGCGGTCACGGTGAAGCCTCTCGGTTGTGGTGGGCGTGTAGTGGACTCGTGGTTGTCGTTCGTGCGTCTCGGTGAGTCATGGTGCCGAGCACCTTCTCCTGTGTTTACTGGCCATTTGGTGAAGGGTGTGAGGGAAACAGGGCAGAGGCTGGTGCTCTGCTCCGCCGAGTGAAGACGTGGCAGGGTCTCCCCAGGACAGTCTTGGGTGCATTATCCCCAAAGAACCGTGCGGCTGGGGCTAAGATGACCTACCCCAAAGGGAAGCACTTGTGTGCCCCCACGGCTCTCACTTTACTCCAGGGAGGCTCAGAGATGCTGAGGGACTTGCCTCAAACACAGCACAGCAGAGACCAGGCTGAGACCAAGGAGAAAGGAGGACCACTTCAGGGCTACGTAAGGGTCAGAGTGGGCGGCAGAGTCGGGGACCTACTCTACCGCAGTTCTGGAAGACACGTGGCCGACTGCAGGTTCAGGTCGGCAGCCTGCTTGACTAGAACACACTGGATGAGTGTGCCCAAGATCCCGACAAGCTGAAGGGCTGAGGGAAGGGGACTGCAGCCTGGCCAGACCCTGTCGAGGTACTGCTCTCTGTCACATGTGTGCACGTGCTTGCTATCATAACAAAAGAAAGGAACTTTACCATCAGAGCCATGCGAGTAATGGCCGACTCTCACATAGCCACGTCCTGTGCCCACCTGAGAGCATTATGTCCGTCAACTCGTTCATCTCCACCACTGCTGTGAGCAAATAGGACCATCTTACCCTTTGGGCTACTGGGGAAACTGAGGCATGGCGTCTTTACATAACAAGGTCACTCAGCTGGTGGAGCCAGGGTGTGAGCCAGGCAGGGCTCACGTCGGATTTGGTGATCAGGTAGGGGAGATGAGAGCTGGCAGCCCACGATGCTGCCCTGGGCAGCGGTAGGCTGGGCAGAGGGTGGGGCTCTGGCCCTGGAGTCCTGCACCTTCCTTCTGCTCTTTGCAGGAAGGGAGGAGACCCTGGGCAGGGACAAGGTGCTGAGGTTCCTTTGTCCTCCCAACCTGCTGTCCCTGGCGGGACCCTCCTATTAAGCACGCTTTGTGAAGCCACCTCCCTTCACAGAGTTGATGAAGCCTGCTGGGCCTTCCCAGCCTTCTTTTTTTCCCTACCATTATTTTATTTATTATTTTTATTTACTACTTCCAGAGACAAACACATGGTGGGGGGGGGTGAGAAAGCAAGCCTCCAGATCCAGAACTCGAACCATGCTCGGCCATGTGGGAGTCCAACGCCCTTAATCACCATGCCACCTGCCCGTCCCCCATTCTTCTTGTACCTCTGGGACCCCTCCTACTGGCCCTCAAGTTAGGCAAGGCAGCCAACACTGCACCTATTGGCCAGACCAATGAACTGGCAAGGTTGGACCGAGGAGCGAGCAAGTTCCAGAGTCAGGTGGGCCAGGCTGTTGTCCCAGCTCTGTGACTTTGCAGCCGTGTGACCTTAGACAGCCAACTTCCCTCTCTGAGCCCCAGCCCCTCCTCTGGAAAGTGGCCCTCCGAACTTCCCCAGGTACAGAAGCTGAGAACGTGTGCACAGCTTTTCCCTAGAGCCACAGGTCTGGGCCAGCATGCTTGTTGGGGACAGCTTCTGCTCTTAGCGTTCCTATTGAGTCCCAGTGAGCCAGCGCTTCGGCGGCCAAGCTGGCTCATTAGCACTCGATAGAACCGTGGCTCTGGCTGTGGCCAGATACTTACCCCAAACCCCACCCTGAACACCCAGAGGGACAGTGAGTTCTGAGTCCCCATTTTCCTGCCCCATCAGGAGCTGAGTGGGGGCGATGGCATCAGCACCCCCACCATCTTAAGTCAGGGGCCCACTAGGCACCGGGCCAGAGCCCACGCACACAGCCTGCACCCACAGCAGATGGGAAGTGGGGGTGGGGGGCTCGTGTTCTGATTCAGACACCAGAGTGGGGGTGCTCACACACGATCCAGGGAGCCCACCTCCTCACTGGCCTTCCCAGGGCCCTGCGGCGCTGGTGGCTCTGACAGAACAGCTTGTGTGCCGCCTCCCACCCCAGCCCGCACGTTTTCTCTTGCATTCGGCGTCTGTACGAACAGCCCTCCCTGGCCCATTCGTCCTGGCCGTCCCCTCCTCGGTGGGAGGGAGGATGCTTTGCTGGAGAGACGGGTGTTGGCTTTGCCCAGCCGACAATTCAAAAGGACATTGACGTAGGGACCAGCAGTTAGCGTAATGGCTGTGTCGCTGGACTCCCATGTAGTCGACCGCCGTTCGCGTCCCGGACCCAGGGGCTTTAACTCACGCCGGGCATGTGTGCGTACCCAAGATCCCGAGAGGAGAATGGAGGAGAAGGGATTGCAGCGTGGCCATCCCCCCTGGGGAGTGATTTCTCGCTTTCTCTGTCTCTCTGTCTGTCTGGCGAACGCACGTGCCCTACAGCAAAAACCTCTCCAAAAAAAAAAAAAAAAAAAGGACATTGATGTAGACAGTTGAAAAGGTCTTCTGCCTTGGTGTCCCCATCTGCAAAATGGGCATACAGAGAGTACCAGCGTCACCCAGTGGCTGTGATGGCCCTTGAGTAAACACAGAAGGTGCCAAGGATGGCTAGGCACATGACTCCACTCAGCGTGTACCCCGTGTCAAGGCTCTGAGCCAGGCCCTGGGCCGGGGCTCTCTCACACGCCATCACTGAACCCTGAACAGAGCCCTGTAAGCTGGTCAGTCCACATCCCATTTCATAGGTGAGGAAAAATGACCCAAGAGGTGACCCCACTATGGGGTGCAGTGGCAAAGCCGGAGCCAGTCCCTCCAGTTCTGCAGTGTGACAGAACTGTCATATCACTGTCCGTGTCGACACTGAGCATGCATAGTCCTCTGCCCCCCTGCTTATCCGCTAGTCACATGGCTGCAAATGGGCTCAGAGAGGCTAAGGGACCTGCCCAATGTCACCCAGCAAATGATCAGCATCCCAGGCCACTTGCCCGGAGCTGCAGGGCCCCCCTCCGCCCAGCTCAGGGCCCTCTAGAAATATGTGGGTTTTCTGTTTTGCCTTCAGCTGAGTTTCAGCACCTGGGACAGTGCCCAGCACACAATAAATGCTCAGCGAGTATTTGCTTAACAAATTATTTGCTTAGTGAACAAACCTGAGAGTTCAGTGAGCTCAGGTTTACGACTTACGCCTGGGGCAAGGCCCAGGGCCAGGCTGAGCAGGAACTTACCATGTCCTGAGGGCACGTAGAACCCTCACACCTGCCTGTGGGGAACATGGCGGGAGCCAGGGGAAGATTGCACTCAGCCAGCAGCTCACTGGATTATTAACCTCCTGCTGAGGTTTCTGTGATGTGTTGACCAGAGACGGCCCCCTCTGAGAGTTTGAACCTGCTACCTCACCTGCCTTTCTTCCACCCAAAAGGGTTTCCTCTGCAGGAGAGAGGGGGTACAGAGGCCCCAGATCTCTTGTCCATTGGGGTCTTAAAACGTGAATAGGTGTGTGTGGGGTTGAACGCTTTGTCCTCATCCCAGCCAATGGGGCAAGTCAGAGCCCACCCTGGAACACTCCGCCCTAGGCAGTAACTGCTCTGTTTACTGGCATTTACCACTTCCTCCTCCCCACAGCCCTCCTGAGAGGTGCAGTCATCCTGTGAATAAACACGTTCAGAGAGGTCAGGGGTTTTCCCAGAGACACAGCACCTCAGTTCCCTGAGCTGACTGACGCTAGAACCTATGACCCTGGAACAGCCATCCTGCCAGAGCCCTGTCCCAGAAGCCCCTGGTTTGTGCCCCTGGTCTGCCCAGTGACCACACAGAGCCTCACACACCGCACCGTACTGTTCTAGAGAAGCCTGGAGAGTGAACAGGTGGAAACTGAGACAGAAGGTCCCTTGCCAGTCCGTCAGCACACAGCCTTCTAGATGAGGAGGACAGGGCAGTGGCTTTCAGCCCACCTGCACGCCAGAGCCCCTGAGAGCGTGGGCAGCACCTCAGTGCCTGCCCTCGCACCCTGCTGTAGGCTGAGAGACCCTGGAGGGCCGGCCCGGCTCTGCCTGCTGCTCACTGGTGTGTGTGTACCAGCCCTGAGGCAGAGCCTGCCAGGCCCCAGGGCATGCTTGGTGCCTGCAGTGGGTATCACATCTCTGTCTTACAGAGAGGAAGTCCAGGTTCACCTGGGGCCGCACAGCAGGGCACCCCATGCTGCCCTTCTCCCTTCAGTGACCTCACACGTCCCCCTTTCTCTGCAGCAGGAGCTCCCGGCCCGTGTGAACTTCTCAGCAGCCCCAGCCCCGGCGCCCGTGGTGCCCACCGCCCTGCACTCCAAGATGGATGAACTGGAGGGGCAGCTGCTGGCCAAGGTGCTGGCCCTGGAGAAGGAGCGTGCAGCCCTGAGTCACAGCAGCCACCAGCAGCAGCAGGAGGTGGAGAAGGAGCTGGGCGCCCTGCAGGGCCGCGTGACCGAGCTAGAGCACGGTGGGTATAGGGGCAAGGCCTTGGTCCTAGAGCAGGTCCTCAGAGGGGCAGGTTCACTGGAAAGCTGTGCCCGGGCTGTCCAGAACAAAGCTGGACAGGAAGCTGGGGAGGAGGCTGCAGGAAGCAGGAGGGCCGTGATCATTTTCAGTGTTATTAACAACGGTCACTGGCTGGCACTTCATGTGTCCGGGGAGTGGGCTAAATACCGGACACATCAAATACCGTGACATAGTCTTCGCAAACTGTGCTGGGATTTTCATGTTGAGGGAACTGAAGCTCAGAGAGGGCGAGTGATTTGCCCAAGATCACACAGCCAATGTGTAGCAGATCTAGACCTCCAACCCAATCTAGCTCCACAGCCAGGCGATTAACCGCCCATAAGACAGCACCTTCAGTGCATCCGTCAGGAGTCCGTCATTCATTTAGTAACGGGCCCAGCAGGTCAGAGAAGCATGATGGATGGGGTCCAGGCTGAGCACTGGGAGGCCTGGATCCTGCTTCCACAACTGTCACTGGCTTGTTTTCTGACCTCAGGAGGCCACTTTCTTTCCCTGGGTCTTGGTTTTCTTGATCTGAGGATGAAGGGGTGAAAATCGTGAGCCCTCGGGGAGCTTTTGGCTTTGAAACCTCGTGAGGCCCACCCTTAAGGGCTTGAGGACAGAGAGAAGCCAGGAGCAATTTGCTGGAGCTGGCTTGGGTGCAGACCAGGAATTTAGGAGAAGACACTCCAGGTGGCTTCCTTGAGGAGGTGGCTCTCAAGCTTGTTCTTGATAGCAGAAGGGGAAGGCACATTTCAGAGTTGGGGAGTTGCGGGAGCAGGAGAGAGCCCTCCATCCTTACTCAGCTCAGTCCTGCCTCTGGCCCCTACACCGAGTCTCCTAAGGGATCAGAGAAATGTCCTCTGACCCAGCTGGACCTGCATGCTCACGGGCAGTAAGTCGCCTCTTTCTTAGGGTTCAGCTTCCCCTTCTATAAGGGATTCAAGAGGCAGTCCCTGAGCCCTTCTTCTCTCACCACAATGACTATATCAGCTCCACCCGCAAACCCTGACCACATCTGGGGCCCTGGGCCCACCATTCCTGGCAGCCCACTACCCCAGCCCTTTTTTTCTTTCTTTCTTTTTTTTTTTTTTTTTGAGAGTTTTTTTGCTATAGGGCATGTGTGCTCGTCAGACAGACAGAGAGATAGAGAGACAGAAAATGAGAAATCACCCCCCGGGGGGAAGGCCATGCTGCAATCCCTTCTCCTCCATGCTCCTCTTGGGATCTTGGGCACGCACGCACACGCGCCTGGCGTGAGTTTTAAGCCACTGGGTCTGGGACGCGAACCGTGGTTGATCATGTGGGAGTCAGCGACATAGCCATTACGCTAACTACTGGACCCGTCCCAGCCCTTACCAATGAGCTGGGGAAGAGGTTTCCCCAGGAGGCAGTTGTCACAAGGTGGTGACATGCAGATGGTAGTGCCCATGGCTCCTGCTCCAGAGGTGTGTATGGTGGGTGTGTCCCCTCTCCTCAGAGTGGCAACTCTTCAACCTACCCCTGTAGAAAGCCCTCTGATATTCACCACGTAGAATCCCAGAAACGCTGAGCTGGAAGAGACCCTAAAGATCAGGGAGTCCCAAGGTTTTGTTAAAAAACAATCCAGTTCGGGACCAGCAGTTAGCGTAATGGCGATGTCGCTGGACTCCCATGTAATCGACCTCAGTTTGCGTCCCGGACCCGGTGGCTTAAAACTCATGCCCGGCACGTGTGCTTGCGTGCCCAAGATCCCAAGAGGAGAATGGAGGAGAAGGGATTGAGGTGTGACCATCCCCCCCGGGTGGTGATTTCTCATTCTGTCTCTGTGTTTCTCTCTGTCTGTCTGGCGAGCACACACACCCAATAGCAAAAAAAAAAAAAAAGAAAAGAAAAAAACAAAAATAATGCAGTTCTATCACATCCCAGCTGTGTGACCCTGAGGAGATTACTTAACCTCTCTGTGCCAAGGCTTCCTCAGCTGTAAAATGAGGATTATAATAGCATCTACCTTCTGGGGTTGTTACAAGGAATGAGACAGTATGTGCAAAAAGCATGTAGAACAGCCCTGCAGTGAAGAAAGCACTTCATGTTGCTCTTCAATAAGCAGTTCTCCAAGGTGGCCATAATCTGCTAGCTAGCATTTATTGAACAGTTACTGCTCCTTTGCATGTTCTGTCTTGCTCAACCCTCACACAACCCCGGAAGACAGAAGGTGAGAGTGCTACCCCATTTTACTGGGGACACTATTGGAGTTAAGTTTGACTCATTGAGGGTCATATGACTGGGACATGATGGAGACAGGATCTGAACTCTGAATACCTCAGGTCCATAACCCTTGGGCTTTAACCACCTGCCTTGGTACAGAGGCAGAGGGGAGAAGGCCATGGAGGCTCCTGGCACTGTAGCAGATGCCAGGAACCATTAACCTCATTTCAGAGTGTGCCCTGTCTGCCCACTGACCCCCACAGTATCTCCCTACCCACCCCCCAGGGCCCTCAGCCTACAGCCCCCCGGATGCCTTCAAGATCAGCATCCCCATCCGCAACAACTACATGTACGCCCGCGTGCGGAAGGCGCTGCCCGAGCTCTACGCCTTCACCGCCTGCATGTGGCTGCGCTCCAGGTTGAACGGCCCCGGCCAGGGCACCCCGTTCTCCTACTCGGTGCCCGGGCAGGCCAATGAGATCGTGCTGCTGGAGGCCGGCCAGGACCCCATGGAGCTGCTGATCAATGACAAGGTGTGTGGGGCTGGGGAAGGCAGTGGTGGCAGGGGTGCAAGGGTGCGGGGGGCCAGGAAGCTGGGTGCCCTTCCAGGAGCACCTGCGCCATGCTGGCTCCAGACATGGGGTGGCCCTTTGTGGGCTCCTGCTCAGCATATTCAGTATATATTAAATGCCTACTGTATGTCAAACTGGGTTCTGGGAATACAAAGACAGCCTGGACATGGGCAGCTGAAGGGGGCATGTGCCCAGTGGCAACTGTGTTCCCATTTTACATGGGGGCATGAGGGATACCCACACAGGCAGAGTGGCTCCCCAAGACCCAGCTGTGACAACAGGGCTGAGGGTGTCTGTCCACCAACACCCTGCTCCTTCCCCTGGACAAGGAAAGGGAGGAAAGGAGGTGCAGTAACCTGCCTGGGAGGCAGCAGGGAGTTCTCAGGGCTCCGCCCATCCCACCCTCCAAAGCAAGCCCATTTGCCCTCCTCACTGCAGGGAGTCGGCAGGAGTGTGAACAGTGCTCTGGGGCCCGCATGCTGGATTCGAGTCTTGGTTCTGCATCTTATTCACCATGCGACTGTAGGCTGGTCACTTACCTGCCTTGTGCCTCGGTTTCCTCATCTGCCAAGC